TATCAGCTTATCGTGACATTAATCGTATCAGCTTATCGTGCCATTAATCAAAATCAGCTTATCGTGACACAAAGCAAGGCTCTCAGCAAACACCTGAGGTGTGTTCACCAACTACTGCTGAAAGACTTTCCAGTCACAGCTAGACAGAACAGTTCTGCTGGTTCTGCCAGCTGATTTAAATTAAGTTATTCAAAACAAAAATTAAATTTATTTCACGAGTGTAAAGAGGTCTAAAGAATAAAATTAGCCACTTTACACTTAAAAAGTCAGCTGGCTGGGTACCACAGATTAATAAACACATATTAAATTAATTTTCCTTTTTCTACTATAAAGCTACAGAAGAACTAATGAACATTCTAGACTTGGAATTTCATTTTTATGCTTTTATTCACTCCAAGTAGCTTATAACTTTTATAAAAATCCCTATAGAGACTTATGGGCTAGAAAATAGGGAATACAACAACTAATCCTTGTACCTGTGGACACACACACACAGGTAACGTGGTCACCCCATGGAAACACAGCCTCGGGAACATAATGCAAACCTCATTACCAGCAAATCTACATCAAAGCAAACAGGACACTAAATGAGACAAGATGAAAGTGTTTTCCATTTGCTTATTTTCTGAAAGAAAAAATATCCAAGGCTGCATTCTGCAAAATTACTGCAACACAAAGGTGCGTTCTGTTTTGTTGTTGTTCTCATTATTTGAACCTCAGAGAAAGTGGGAATAGTCTAATGACATTTAATTCTGAGAAGATACCTACATTTCTAAGAAGAACTAGGATATTATACAGGAAGGTGATCATGACCTGAAGACTGCAGAAACAGAATAAAATACTATAGCCCAAAATGCCATGTCCCACTCTAGGGGCCTAAGAACAAGATAATCTTCAATAGTCTTAAAGCTGATAGCTGCATTAAGAAGAAAAAGCCAAAAGTATACTAACTAATCGCAGAATAACTTTGCAATCAAGTAATACATAAATATATACATACACACACACAAATATATATGTGCATATATATATAAAATATATATATATAATATATATATATATAATATATATATCGCATCAGAGCCAGGAACTGTTAAGCTTTGCCCTGAAGATTGTGCACAAATGTAGTCAAATTATAACATGCACATAACTAGGATGAGTGAGACAAGAGAATTAAGATGTTTTAAGATACGTATCATTTAACCTCATCAGGGCACTGAAGGTCAGATACAATTACCCTCTCTAAGCACCTCAAGAAGGTGAAAGTTCTTCTCCTTTTTGGCTTTTAAAACAGCTCCTTAGCAAAAATCTGAGCAGAAATATGTATCAACATTATTGTTTGTATGAGTGTTTAATTAGTTTGCGCAGCATTTTATGATAAATTACCAGAATCAATGATTCAGAGATCCATCTCTATCTTGTTCTCTTGGACTCAAGTTCTAACTATATTGTAGTTTAAGATCCATAATCATGTAAATATTCTGTAGATATGCTGTATGATTTTAAGTATGAAAATGAAATATTTGAGATTTTSAGTTTTTCTTACCTTTCCAGAAGATTATGAATTGCTTTGAAGAGCAGGGTCCTACACTCATAGGAAAGTCCATTCTCCCAGAATCCTTCTTCCACCACTAWAAAAACATAAAATGTCAACATGCTCAGAATAGGGAAATTACAAACATTTATCCAAAATATATCTTCAACAGCTTTAATTTTCAAAGCAGCATGTTTCATTAAACTATTTCAGCTATTACCTATATTGCCCAAGTAGCTTTAATCTTTACTTGCTGCAGACACAGCCTTTGAATTAAAAAAACAAAACAAACCTAAACGAACACAAAAGCATAAAAGCAAACCCATTTGTTTGTAGCATTCAATATTCAAGTACAGGGGTGAGGAATGCACGATCATTCTTTGCCACCACTGCTGAGAGATCCTTTAAAACTTAACCACAGATGCCGACAATCAAGAAACAAAGTGAATCATTAAAGGTGTAAAATCGATTTACATAACTGAAACAACATGAAACAAGTCTCCAGAACCTCTTGCTGTCACACTCAAGTGCAATTCCTCCATTGTACTGACTTCAACTATTGCAGTTTTAGCAACACGCAGCAGATTTTATACCAAAATAAAAACTCCACACTCAGCAGCGAACTGCAGAGATTTTAGAGCTTAAAAAAAAAAAAAAAAAAAAAAAAAAAAAAAAAAAAAATCTAATTATCTCTCATAGTAGAGTGCAGCCTGAATTAGTCACCTGAAGGATAGAAAAACCTCAGAAATATCTGCTGTCCTTACGCATGGCTCTTGGGTGCTAAAACTACCAGGAGTAGCACTATTTCGGGTATGCCTGTACCAGATTCGAAATCTTACTCAGCCAGAAGATGCAGAGTGAAAGCAGATGATAAAACAACTTTYTCAAGAAGTAAGAATTCGTTAATTGTCTGAGTTCTGTCATTTCGGTTTTACAGGAATAGCCGGCAGATCTTTAGAAGTGCAAACATAAAATTCTACTGCGCATTAAGCACTGAATACTTCACACCCCTCCCGGGCCAATTTGCAGGACGGGCCCTCCCAGCAGYGCGTCTAGCGCATAGAGATGATTATCTCAGTGTAGTTTACAACCACGTTTAAAGGCGAGCTTGTAAAGAGTTTGTGCTCCGTGGAAAATACTGATATTGCCAGCAGCCTTCAAAGCCCCGAGCCATCGCGGTGCTGCCTCTCCAAGAGCTGTTACACACAGACCCAGACGAGGAAAGGCACATTTTTTGCATGAGCAATGTTGTGATATGCTAATGTCGGCAGGAGAACGGAGAAGCCAGGTTTTATCACCTAAATCACCTTATCGGACAGCGCAGGGAGGATGGAGACACAGCCCTGTGCCGCAGGGCACGAGCAGCGGCCATGGAGCTTTTCCCTGGAAACCACCGCAGGCCCTTTAATGCTGCCAAACCCTCCCGGACAGCGAGGGTGTAATGGGCCACGGATATTTACCGCACAGAGCCCCGCATGGCCTCGGGTTTCACAGCTGAAACATTCCGTTTCAGGAACTCAGAACCGCCGTGCATGTTCAGAACTATCGATGTATGAATTTTCAACAGCTCACAACTCCTGAAGCCCCAGACGCTGCAAGGCACGTACTGTCTTGCACTTAAAAATGACATAATTCTTAAATATATGGAAAGGTACACGTTACACTATGAGAGAACACACCATAAAAGTTCAGTATTTAAATTAAAAAATCAAATTTTTASACAGCATCATGAAGTTGACAGAACCTGTAAAAGTCAAAATAAATTCACTGTTGCACAGCACTGAGCTCTTCTCAAGTTCCACCCAATTTTAGGGTATCGTCCCTGCTTTAGGAACTTCATGCAAAACAGGGGAGACAAAAATCAGTTCCATGATTTTCCAGGAAGGTTCCCGCCACCAGTTTTGAAGTTCTCAGCCGTATCTTCATACCTACTCGCAGATATACATAGCAGACTAATGTGACCCTGGCACAGTTTATATAATCTCTCAAAACTGTTTCCTCCAAGCACAATTTTGGCATTTCAGAAGAATTCAGATCAGATCACACTGCTTTACACTGTTGAATGTAATATTCTGTAAGGCTGGAATAATTTTAATCCCGAATTCTTTTGTGACTGGACATCACCTGTGTTCTTTTTCCCTGCTCAGCTCCCCTGGGCTACAGCAGCCCGTTATTCCTCCACAATCCCAGACATGAAAGCACTCCACATCCCAGCAGGAGGGATGGGATGAGGGAATGGAAACTGGCAGCACTCCCCCTCCCTACCCACCACCACAGCTGCATCCATGGCTGTCCTGCACTCAGCATGTGTCCAAATGTGTCCAAAATGTGTCCAAAATCCCAGGAAAAGCAGGGAAAAGCCACATGAACCTTGCAGCCAAGTCCCGAGGGTGCGGTGTGCCATGCGATCAGACTGCCTGAGGAGCAGCAGTGGAGTGGGACAGGGAAAGAGGGAAGGTCTGGAGAGGTATCAACCCTTAATATTATAATTTTCCAAACTGCCTTTCTTAGTACTCRGAATTCACATTAATTTTATATTAAATGGAAATAAAAATATTTCCCTATTAAATTTGACTCTAAGTATACCATAAGACATTGCTATAACCATTTGCCTATAATAAATAATGCCTTTAATTCCCAGATATATTAAAGCACTATACTTACTGTAATTATCTCTAATGCTTCTTTATCCTACTAAAAAAGTACATCTCACAATTAGGAGCCTGTACATATGTCTGATTCCATAAAAATGAGGAGGAAAAATTAGAAGTGCAGCATTTCACTTCCTTTCTGCTCCTTGGCTTCCTGATCCAGACTCCAAAAGCAAAGTGTTGAAATGACTAGAGCAAGTTACAACTTCAAGCTGCATATGGTGACCAGTAAAAAAGCTTGGCAAAACACTAAAAATTAAACTATCCTTGTAAATTCCAAAGTTCCTGACACTTAGAATTTAACTAGATCTTAGAGTTTGAAGAGTATTTTAAATTCCTTATAGCAGATTGAAGCCTAGGAAATAGTTGTTGGTTTCTGTCTGTCTACACGATGATTTCTAATGCTTTTAACACTCAACACGTTCATCTCCAGCCCCTCTCAGCTTTCCCATACTCTTGACAGCATTTCCAGGCACAGCCAGCAGAACACAGGTGCTGCACAGGTTCCAAAACATGGGAACACCTCTGGCCTGCCCTGGAGGTGTTTCTGTGCCTTCAGTTGAAATATTTCTCTTTAAACACAATAAAMGTGACACTGAACAACACCTTTGAAAGCCATCCTCCAAAAGAAAGAACTTCTAGTGGGAGAATCATAGAAAGATGTCATTTTTAGAAGTGCAAGTATGACAGAGCCTGTAACTGTTTTCCTCTATGGAAGTCAGAGCAGAGGAGAGGAGTTTGGAGAGGCAGCAAAGCAGAGGGGACAAACTGTGAGGAGACAAAGCCACAGCTAATCTGATCTCTTGTTTGCAGCAATCCCATCCTGGGGAGGTGCCAGGCTGGGCAGCCTCCAGCAGCCCAGGCTCCTCAGCACAGTGATCTGGCAGTGACTCCTCCACCAGGACAGGTTTATGTACACACAAATCTATAGCTCTGTGTATATATATTTTTATCTGTGTATGTTAMCTACCCTGTCCAAGCCTGTGTACACCCCACAGTAGTCCAGGATGACATCTGGGAGTCACATTTACTTTATTTTAACAAGCAGCTCATCTCCTTCTCACCGCCCTGTAGCAGAGGAAGAACTTCACTGCTTCATTTCTCACCAAAACAAGCATCTGCTTTCCTGCAGTTGTTTTGTTAGTTTTTTTTCCAATGAAATCATCTCTCAAAATAAACAGCTAAGTCATTAATATTTTGTCTCTAAAAATCTGGATTCTCAGGGGRAAAAAATCAAGAGGTGCAGAAAATCCAAAACCAGAAAAAAGTGCATTTGATGCTTATCCTAATGGATTACAATAGAAGTGTTAATCTCACTGCTGATGTTCAAACAGAATGGGAATTAATTGACAGCCTCCATATATAAAGTTTTTAGGTGTTTGTTATGAATTTGTTTTCATAGGTTAAAAAATGAAAATGTTTGCACTGATCTTTATGTTTATTCTTGCAGATCAGATGTTAATAGAATTAAAGGCAACTACAATAATTTAGACTTACATGGGAAATTTATAATTTAAACATACATTAATGAGCAGCTTAGTTAGCTTGGGGTCTTTTTTATTTTCAAGTCAGAGATATTAAGGTCTTCAAAGTGTCCAACGATTTTTATGAAGCCAGCCATGTTCTCAAAAAAAAGTTAAAAAAAAAAAAAAAAAAAAAAAAGATCCATTATAAAAATTTCAAGGAGAGAAGTCACAGCAAAATATCAAAGCAAATACTTCAATAATTTTAGGTCTCCCAGCAGAGATACTGGAAAGATAATAAGATCTCTGTTCTGCTTCAGTGGCCAAACTGACATATTTTACTTAAAAGAAACATAGGAAGGAAGGAGAGGAGGCAAGTTGGGGCTGTGTCGGCGCTGCAGAGACAGTTATACCTTTAAGAAATCCAGCCACCCACATTTTAATAATTCAGGTCACACTGCCTTGTGCAGTTTAAAAGCAGAATTAGTTTCAAAGAATACATATTTCCTCAGAGCTATGTTACATATTTCCTTTTAATGTATCATATTGCAGCAACAGCTGAAATGAACGTCTAGACATCAAAAACAAGGCTTTATTCCCACCTACTGCTTTTTTACCTCAGGCATCAGAGCTAATGAAACCCATTATCCAGAACACTGCCCTCAGTTACCACATTGGCCACTGCAAATATGAAAAAACACTCTGGGACAGCACCAGTTATTCAGCCATTAAAATTACTGAAAATCAATTTCTTGCTGCACACTGCAGAAATACTGATAGATTAAAGCAGGACACATGGGACAAGGAGATTACTTCCAGGGAAGATTACTATGTCAAACTGCTGAGGACGGGGAGTTACTCAGCTCCTCAGGATTCTCATTCACAGCAGCACATGCTCCTTCTTAGCCTTTGATATTCTGCCTCCTCCTTCCCATGAAATATGAAGGATGTGGGGCTATTTCCCATGTTTTAAAAACATACGA